TCCTAAGCCAGGCGGTAGTGGTGAATGCCTTTAATCCTAGCACTCAGGAGGCAGAGACAGGCTGAGCTATGTGAGTCCAGGACAGCCAAGGCTACACAGAGAAACCCTGTCTCTCAAAACAAAAGGAAAAAAAGGAAAAAAGAAAGAAATTCTGTTCTAATTGCAAGCCAAATTACAAATTTTGTTTTAATGAAACTGAAGTCAGCAACTCAAAGGTAAACACATGCATGTAGTGCCGTAGAGGACAGAACAGGGTGTTGGATGCCCAGGAACTGGAGTTGGAGATGGTTGTAGGTTATCATGTGGTACTGGGAACCAAACTCTGGTCCTCTGCAAGAGCAGCCAGTGTTCCTAACCACTGAGCCACCTCTCCAGCCCTAACTGCTCATGTAGAAACCTTTTGCAGTTGCCATTTTTTGTACCCCCAACACTCAGTTACAGGAGCCCATGTGGGGTTACTACCCACAGTTTAATACTAGACAATTATAGGAGAAACTGCCCTCCAGTCTACCCAAGCCGAAGTTGTCCTGCCCAGGTGTCCAGGCCAGCCTGCAGGAGCATGCTCAGCAGGCACCTCCTCCCTGAGCTAAGCCTGTCTCCATGCCCAGAGACTGCTGATGAAGAGACACCTGACCTGGCCAGAGACACCAATCAGGAAAGGACAATGCAGCAGAGTCAGCTGCTGCCTGGGCCAATGGGACCTTGGGGGGGGGGGATAAAGACAGACCTAACTTCCTTAACAAACGTGTCTGCTATACGCTCTGCTACTGACTCACTGTGTGTATATGTATGCATGTATGTATGTACACACGTATGTGTGTGGGTGTATACATATGTATATATAATTATTTGTATATATATAAAATGTTTATTTGTATATATATATATATATATATATATATATATATGTAAATTTAAAAAAATCAAATCAAGAATGGTAGTGAATGCCAGTGATTCCAGCTCTGAGGAGACTGAGGCAGGAGGATTGGCATAAGTCTGAGGCCAGTTTAGGGTGACATAGTGAGTTTGAGGCCAGTCCAGGCTAAATAGTGAGACCCTGTCTCAAACAAAGAGAGGGAGGGAGGGAGGGAGAGAGAGAGGGAGGGAGGGAGGGAGGGAGGGAGGGAGGGAGGGAGGGAGGGAGGGAGGGAGGGAAACATTCCTATGAGTGCTCCCTGGGCTGTGCAGCAGAGGACCATCTGTGCCACATTGAGCCGAGCAACCGGATCTGCATGGCACGGTTCCCTAGCTCAGCCTCTCTCTACCGCTGCCTGGGTCTTTGGGGTACATCTTCCTAGGTACACTCCCAGGTGGTAGGAATCCAGAGGTGCCCTGTCCAACACCGTACCACAGTCACACGGGGAAACCAGCTAGAGCTGAGGTGCCAGATGAGGTTTTTGAAGAGTTGGTGAGAAAAACGAATATAAAATCTCTCTCAGTTCTTAGAATGGTTACATGCTGAGATGGCTTTTTGGTGGCACTGGAATAAATGTTTCTGAGATGAACTCAGGACATTTCTACGTGTGCGGCTTGTGGTGGTTTTCTATGGGACAGTTGCTCCGGATAAAGAATCCAGAAGGTGACTAACACTAGTTTGTGATTGTTGTTTTTGGTTTTGGCGGTGCTGGGGGAATGAACTCAGGAATTTGCATGCAAGAGGGCTACCACAGGGCTGCACCCAACCGGAGACTCGAGCTTTTGGCAGAACAACTTTGCAAGAGCTCTAAAGCAAAACTGATTCCACCCACGGCTCAGGTGCCATGACTTCCAGACCGTGCAAGGCCGGGTTGTGGGAGTGGGGGTGGCCGGGGCCTCCCCGCAGTGGGTTGTGTCAAGCTGCGGTGGTTTACCTGGGTTCCTGACGCCCTGCAGGCCAAGCTGCTGACTCCACTCTCCTCCCAGGGGCGGCCACAGGTGTCGCCGGCCACTAGCTGTCTGCTGGAGGGATGGCTCCTGGGCGCTGCTGGGGACAACGAAGCGACGCGCTTCCTGCCCGGGAAGGGCCTGATTGGCGGCTATAGCAGTCCGGCCGCTGCCTGCTTGGATTTTATCACTGGGGCTTCGGAGAGGCAACAAGTAACAACCCGGGCCCTCCGTTCCTTCAGGGGTTTGAGATGAGTCATTGCCCTCCCTGTGTCAGGGAAATGTTTGCTTCGAAAAGCAAGCCTGGGGCACGCTTGTGATGCCAGCCCTGGAGAGGCTCTGAGACAGAAGGACATTAAATCAAGGCTAACCTGAACTACATAGTGAGACCCGGTCCTACGGAACCAGTAGGAATGAAAAAAAAAATGAAGGAAAATTCTTGCCCATTGCTCCTGTTCGACCGTCTCTATTAAGTTACCATGTACTGAGATGTCAACGTTTGATCTATTGCTTGATGGATAGGTGTGTGTGTGTGATATCCTTTAAAGACAAAGAATAGGATACGTGACATAAAATGTTTTCCAACTCACTTATTTCTAAGGTGGTATTTAGATACTGGGAAATTATTTTCTCTTTTTAAAGATTTGTCGTGTATACAGTGTTCTGTCTGCATGTATGCCTGCAGGCCAGAAGAGGGCACCAGATCTCATTACAGATTGTGTTTGCTGGGAATTGAACTCAGGACCTCTGGAAGAGCAGGCAGTGTTCTTAACCACTGAGCCATCTCTCCAGCCTGGAAAATTATTTTCATCAGTAGTTGAACCTCATGTTCAATTAGCTCATGCAGAGCAAAATCTGCTTGAAGTCCTGGCGAATGTAGAGAAGGCACCTTGCACGTTTAGCCCAGGCTCTCCTTGCTGGGGAAAAAGCACTCTACCACTAAGCTGCAGATAAAGTAAATGACATAGTCCTCAGTCTCTGTGTCTCCATCTGCCCCTCCATTTTTATTTGCATTAAGGCAGAGGACAACCTTAGCGCTAGCTCTCCTCACATGCAGGCCCCAGAGTCAGACTCAAGTCCTCAGGCTTGATGGCTCACCACTGCTGAGCCAGCTCGCCAGTCCCTAAATTGTATTTTTAAAATTAACCCTTAAAAAAATCTCCAAAACCATATACAATCTAACCAGTTATAACTGCACCCAAGTGAAGTTTGCGTAATAAATGTTTGTTGTGTAGATTTTAGCTGTTCAGTCCCATTTTCATCAAGTTTTCTTCCAAAAGTTCTTATTCCTGGCTCCTTGGCAGAGGAGGCTAGGCTGGACTTTTTATATTGTCCAGATAATTATAACCACCAACTTTTTAACCTAGGCAAATGTCTACTCTAGGTTTATGTGGGTTATGTTGACCCACAGAAGGACTGCATTTACCTGGTAGGAAAATTAAACAAAATGTAGAAGAATGTGGAATGACTAAGAATAATCATTCAAGGAAGAATTAAACTTCATAAACAAGACCTGTGAAACCCATCTGCCTCTCTTGAGTATTAGAACAACAGTGAATGGTCTTCAGTTGATGCCAGTGACAAGCAGCCATTTTTAGAACTGATAGGAGTTTAGCCAAGAGAGTGAATCTGAGGAAAACCACAGGTCTGGTTGTCAGGTGTGCTTTTAATTACACTGTGCAAGTTACAACAAGGAAAGAATTTAGATTTCCAATAGAAAAAGAGAGCTGGAAATAGCTCAGTCAGTAAAGTGCTTGCCGTGTAAACAGAGTAGCACCCAGCACGAACCGTGTGGGGGTGAGGAAACAGGCAGGTGGATCCCATCCCCGAGGGTCACTGAACAGCCTGCCTCACCTGATCCCTGAGGAATGCTACCTGCTGTTATTTCTCCCCCACCCCCACCCCACCATTAGAAAAGAAAAAGAAGGAAATAAGAGAGGAAGGAATTTAAGTCTTCCCTTAAAGATAGGAAAGTGGGGGACTGGGCATGGGGGATGTCACTCAGCTGTAGAGCGCTAAGCATGAACAAAGCCCTGGGGTAAACCCCAGGATCCCCAGAGCTGTTGGAAGGCAGACGTGGGGGACATCTATGAGTTCAAAGCCAGCCTAGCCTATACATCCAGTTCTAGGCCAGCCAGGGTAGATACAGAGATCCTGTCTTAAAGAAAAACAACAACAAAACAAACAAAAACCAATACTACAAATGGGTAACAAAGTAGAGAAGCTACCAGTTCCCTCCCTGGCATGAAGTAACAGTGATTTCTTGTTTTCCAAGATACATTGATTGTGCAGGTTTGTTGACCCTGAGTTGTCACCTGCTCACCACCACAGCAACTGACCGATGTCATAGGCTGACAGGCCACCACAGGCATTCTGGACACCCTGACAGGTAAGTAACCCACTGATTCTCTTCCTTAATCAAACATAGCATAATGCAATAAAGTGGGCAAAACTTAAACTTCAATCTCACCTAACCCTAGAGAATGGGTATGACCTACAGACATAAGCACCATTACAACGTATCTGTAAAGGCCCTCAGACATGACATGTCGGTTAGAGCCGAGAATGGTGCTATAGCAACACACACACACACACACACACACACACACACACACACGCACGCACGCACACACACGTGCACACACACACACACACACACACACACACACACACACACCACTGCTGTTCTCACTGCTGAGAACTGATGGGAGCTGTTGCTGCTTTCAGAGACAGGCTCATAAATGGCCAAGAATGAAGGGCAGCCACGGGTCAGAAGGGGAGGCTGCAGGCAGCAAGGACGCCAACCAGCTGGTGCAAGTTCACAGCCCTGGTGACTCAGCTGTGCCACGTAAGGGGCGGCATCTCTTCCCCAAGCAAAAGCAACCCTGGCAAGTGTTCACTCATTCCTTGGGCCACACAGATAGCCATTTTTAAAAGTATTTATTCCTTTACCTGCTAGCTTCAGCTAATCCAATTTGAAGCTGGTGAGACGGGAGAGGAGAGCAGAAAGTTTTCCTTGTTCTCAGTGAACCTTATTCTGCTCCAGGGGCTTCAGAGAAGCTTCTGGTCCGTTACCTGACCTTGGCATAGGCCCAGGAGATGGTTTATTTCAATGAAGTACGCTACCCACAAACACCTAGTGTGCCAGTATTTATTTTGGTTACTCCTATCTGAAAGCCCTTATTCTTCCAGAACAGCAATACATTTTATTATCCATTCTCTCCAATCCTTAAAAGCTTCCACAGGTTTCGGCAAATTCACATGGTCAGAACTTGGAGTTGCTCCTATTATGTCATTAGACTGATCATCAATCCACCTCAGCAGTGCCTTGAAAAACACACAAACACTGCATTTTAACAAAAAACAGCAAAACAGTCTCAGGCACAATAACTGGCATTGAAGTGAGGCTTTCTAAATCCATGGATTGTGTACCCATCAATAGCCTGCATCTGATGGAGTGGGCTATGAGTACAATGCATGAGTGACACCCAGAGAAACAGCATGGACCAAAAATACAGGGAACATAGCCGAAAACTACAGTCAAAAGTATACAAGAGCTGGGTCTGGTTCCTCACGTCTATAATCTCAACACTCAGAAAGGCCTAAGTCAGGACTGCTACAAGGTCACAGCCACCGCGGGTTGCACAGTGAATTCCAGACCAGCCTGGGCTACGTTATGAACACCACCCCACCTCAAAACCAACAAACAAAACCCAATGAAAAGAAAAAATATGCAGAGGAAAAAGAACTATGCTAATTCTTACACTATTTTAGGATAACAAGATAATTATAATTTCTTTTCTCAATCTTTTATTCTCTAAGGCACTGTGCTGCGCTTTTAGCTTAGTGCACATGTACATATAAACATAACTACACCCCAAGGCAAGGGCAGGCATATGTATCCCAAGACATGGAGAGAGATCTCAAATGCTGTCCCTGCATGAGCACACAGGCCACAAGCAACCACCGGGATATGTACTGATGCGTGCAAAGGACAACAAAGGAGTTGTCTCTTCCTTCTTACCCATTCTTTACTAACAGACCTATGTGTCTGTCATATACTTGGAAAATTACAGTCACACAGTTATATGCTTATAAAGATGACCTCTACCACATAAATCAGGATACATGTCTACTGTAGAGTCAATCCTTTTTGATCTAACTGGACATGAAACAGCTAAATTCCTTTTTCTCTGTGAATGGCAAGTATTAAAGTCATTATTGGGGATGGAGAAATGGCTTGGTCATTAAGAGCATGAACTGCTCCTTCAGCAGACCTGAGTTTGGATCTCAGCACCCACATCAGGTGCTTCCCAAATGCCTGTACCTCCAAGGAATCAGACATGTCCCTCTGGTCTAGAGGGCACACACTTACACAAATTAATCTAAAACAAGCAGTCATTGTCACATTAAAGTTTATCTTGATGAGTGTTTTGTCTACATATTTGTATGTGCACCATGTGTATGCCTGGTGCCCTCCGAGGATGTTGGATCCCTGGGAACTGGAGTTTTATGTGACTGTAAGCCACTACATAATGATGTACAGAGTAAGATACATGGGATGAGGATAAAACATGGGTTATATATTTCATTCTGTTGTATGGATGGTGGAAACCAATCTCAGATCCTCTGCAAGAACAGTGGGTACTCTTAATGGCTGAACCACTGTTTCAGTCCCAAGCTGGTTCTCTTTTGTTCTTTTTTTTTTTTTAGACAGGGTCTCAATCTACAGGCCCAGGCTGTCTTCAAAATAAGATCAATCCTTCTGCCTCAGCTTCCCAAGTGTTGGGATTACAGGTATGAGCCACCATAAGGAAACATTTATATTGCTGAGGCAGGGATGCATGCATGCATGAGTGTAGAGGCCAGAGGACAATCTGCAGAAGTCAGCTTTCTTCTTGCACCAAGGGCTCCTGGGACTGACTCCTGTCTTCAAATTGCAGGGCTGGGATTAGGGGAGGAAGCACCATTACTGGGGGACCTGCCTGTCTCCTCCACCCTAAACAAGGTTTAAATTGGGTATTTCTCTGCATGGCTTTCACATAGTGTATGTGTAGGCCCAAGGTTGACCTCTGGTGTTTTTTCCCCCTAATACACTGAAGCAGGGTCTCTCTTAATGAACCCAAACCTTGCTAGTCTGCTAGTCTGGCTAACTAGTTTACCTCTAGGAGTCTGATTCTCTATCCCATGCACTGGACTATAGGTGGGCACTTGTGTGGGTCCTAGGGACCCAGACTCTGGTCCTCATGCTCTTGTGGCAAGACAGCAAAAGATCTAACCACTGCCCATCTTGCCTGCCCTCTTTACATTTTTTTTTAAACCACAGTTTCCTGCTTATCTTTACCTAATTTCCTCTGATAAATCATAAAACACCGTTTGCTGCTTAGCTTACCACTTCCCTTCCCTTTGCAGCCCTTCCCACTTACTTTGTATCTTTCTATAATACTGAAGCCAATAGCACTCTGCAGCTTGCGTAAGCAGATAGGGCAAAGGCTCAGAGGACGCCGGTCAGACTCTTCCAAGTGATTGGAGCCTTGCATTAAGCACGCGAGCCACTGGCAGTGTCGAAGTCCAAATATGTGTCCTATCTCATGGGTTAAAGTCTGCAAGACATTTATGTCACTGCTATATAGTCCCACGATTAGCAATTACACAACGCTTTTCCCAGAAACAGATTTACAGGAATCAATACCATCGCCATTGTCTTAGATAGGGTTTCTATGGCTGTGACAATATTCCATGTCCAAAAAGCAAGTTGGGGAGGAAAGGGTTTACTTGACTTATACTTCAGCACTGGAGGAGTCAGGACAGGAACTCAAGCAGGACAGGATCCTGAAGATAAGAGCTGATGCAGAGACCATGGAGGACAGCTGCTTACTGGCTTGCTCCCAATGACTTGCTCAGCCTGCTTTCCTATAGAACCCAGGACCAGCAGCCCAGGGATGGCCCCAACAACCATGGGCTGGGCCCTCCCACAATGATCACTAGATGAGAAAATGCCTTACAGCTGGGTCTCATGGAGGCATTTCCTCAGCTGAGGCTCCTTCCTCTGATGACTCTAGCCTGTGTCAAGCTGACGCACAGCCATCAACAGCAAAATTTCATTCTGCCCAGCTCTTCTACACTTAGTAATGGTCGTTTCGTGCTCTTTCAGACCAGTGTTTCCCCGCTTTGGGGGAGCTAATATTGTCTGGCTGATTCCATGTGTGGGAGGGAACCCTCATGAGTGGGCTCTACCCGCTGGGTGACAGGACAATCAGTGAGTTTGTATTTGTGACTATTAAATGTGGTGGTGCATGCCTGTCATCCCTGTACTTGAGAGGCTGAGGCAGGAGGACAGGAAGTCTGCTTTAGGCCAGTAGGGTCCTAGCAGTTCAGATTCTGGGTTCCTTCACCCCAGAGGTGGGTTCGGTAGATCTCGGAAAAGGGGCTTAACTTGCTAGGGGAAACCTACAAATAATCCTGGAGAAAGTAAAAATCTATCTTTAAAAAAAAAAAAAAATTGATTTTCCAAGCAACTTACCTTACAGGATCGCCACAGCAAAATACTAGTGATCTCAGGATTGTAATAGTTATCAAAAATGGTGTAGTCACTGGAAGATGTTCGAGTGGGCTTCTTCACTCTGCCTTCATACCGTGAGCTGGAGAAATCCTTGTCGTACCTGGCGAAGCTGAATATCCCTACACCTACAAAGAGAAGACAATCTTTTTCACCAGGTAAGATACAGAAACGAAAGACCAAGGATGCCTGTTCACACATCTTGTCAGTCAGTGCACATCTGGAAACAATTTATTTACCAACATAAACAACTTTTTTGTCCCAGACTTCCCTATGGAGATCTTTACCTGCCAACCAATTTCCCCTGCCCTAGAAATTCAACTTGACTCAAAAAAGTGTTCCTTACCCCACCCTCAGAAACTGCAGACTGCTACGTGAAATGAAGGGGAAGCGTGTTCTAAAGGGAAAGCAAATCTAATCTTGTATCACAAGTGACTTGCTTTGACCGAACAAGTGCGAGCCTACTTCATGTGATCCTTTCAGTCATAACATTTTAAATGTTTCTCTGTTCGAACATCGTCTTTAATCCTGAGGAAAACCAGGCCACGTGTGGTAAAATACACTCATTTCATATCAGATCAACAGCTACCTTGACATGTCTTGTTTTATGTCATGTAATATTTTTAAAACCTAACCTCCCCCCACACCAAAATAGTTAAAATTGAAACAGTTTCGGTAATGCTTCTTGGCCCACTCCCCTCCAATGCACATAATAAATTAACTAGTGGTGTCGAGGTCAACGAACAAATTGTTTTGCATTTATTTTTGATGTTTTCATTTCTGTCATGTTAATAAAAGGAGACACGGGATAAAAACACACAGCAGAATAGTAACATAAGACTTCAAAAGGGCTTGCTGGGAGGATCCAGGGTTGTGATGAAGAACCTGGAGAGATGGAGCACTCAGGATGAACTACGAGAAGCTCTAGCCTAGCCCTGCCACAACACAAACACCTATCCGATGCAGGAAGGCCCTGCCCTAAAGCCTCAGCCTCTACATCCAGACAGACCGTCAGCGCCTTTACATCCAGACAGACCGTCAGCTCTCTCTGGGCCTTGGTTCTCATCAACCTCTCCCCAGTACAATAATACCCACTCCCCTTAGTTTACTGGCTTTTTCACTTCCAACCTGCCTTAAATCCTGTGTGTGTGTGTGTGTGTGTGTGTGTGTGTGTGTGTGTGCGCGCGCGCGCGCGCGCACGCGCCTGTGTAGTTAGAGAACAGCAAAAATGAGGGAGAAAGAACAAATTAGAGCCATGAGAAGAGAAAGAAAAAAAGGAAGAAAGAAGAAAGAAACTGACTCACTTTCAGACCCCTCCTAATATTGCCAGGCAGTTTCTAAAAGTTTATTATGTCCCAAGTCCAGGTTTAGGTTAGTTTTCTTCTTCATTGTCATTTTTCCCCCTGACGGAGTACTGACTGTTGGAGAGCTCAGGCTGGCCTCAAACCTGTAGTCTTCCTGCCTCTGCCTCCCAGTGCTGAAATCACAGGCTTGTGCCCCCATGCCCAGCAAGAACTTTGGTTTCTTGCTGTGGTTTATGCCTGGTTGGGTTGTTTTGAACAGGGTATCTATCTGAAGGTCAGGCATATTTAAATTCACTAGGTAGCTGAGGCTAACCTTGAACTCCTGGTCCTCTTGCCTCCACCTCCCAAGTGCTCCAATTAGAGGGCTATGCTACCACATGTGGGCCAAAGTTGGTTTCTAGGCAAGCACTCTATCACCGAGCTACACCCACAAATCTTAAGGAAAAATAAAGCCATATATAGGTTGAAAAGGAAAATATGTACTTATATATTTACTTATAACTATTCTATCTGTGCTTGATCAAAAGTGCAAAATCAACGAGCAAGGACTAGGGATATGTGGCAGTTTGAATGTAACTGGCCCCCACAAGCTTCATAGGAAGTGGCACTATAAGGAGCTGTGGCTTTGTTGGAGGAAGTGTGTCACAGTGAGGGTGGGCTTTGAGGTCTCATTCATTCATATTTATGTATGTATATATGTATGTATGTATGTATGTATATATACACACACACATACACACACATATATATATGATCAAGCCACACCCAGTGTCTCAGACCACTTCCTGTTGCCTGTGGGTCAAGATGTAAGAACCATCAACACCATGTCTGCCTGCATGCTGCCTTCCTTCCCGCCATGACGACAATGGACTGAACCTCTGACTGTAAACAAGCCACCCCAATTAAATCTTTTCCTTCATTAGAGTTGCTGTGGTCGAGGTGTCTCTTCACAGCAATAGAAACCCTAGCTAAGACAGATGCATGTAATTCAGTGGTGGAGTCCTCTCTTTCAACCAAGTCCAGGTTCAAAGCCATGTACTGTACATGCGGGGCACGCCCCCCCCACACACACACGAAAAGAATTAGCAAGAGTTTTACACATGTTAATGATAGCACCAATCTCAAGTTGTTTGCCTTGCTGATCTCCAGATGTTGAGCTGAATGCCTGGGTATGGATGGACCAGGCATCTCAAGCACTATGGGTAGGAACTGTTACACAAGCCATCTCCAAATGACTCTGAGAAAAGTATCATCACTTCAAGGTCAGGTGGGGGGGGGGTCTCCTGAAGAGGATTCCCATATCATCAGTCTCTCAAAACACAGTCTCCACTATGGCACACATGGCACGTCACTGGACATACAGTTCTAAATATTGAAAACACTACCAGATGGAGTCCTTTTTCCCCCCACTCTCTGCATATCTTCAATACCCTCAAGCTGAACAATATCAAAACAGTATCAGAGAGGAATACCATCTGTCAAAGAGGCCTGTCCAAAGACAAAATTCCAGGAGTCCCGTGGGTAGAGATCAATCATTGTTATCCCCACGATACAGAAGGCATCTTTGGGTTTCTTCTTTTTCAAGAATGCCAGGATATGCCCTGTTTGAAAAGACACGCATGAGCAGTATATATGTGACATACACACACACACATCCTTTCTGCTACGTTCCAGTTGCTAAGGCGCTTCATTTACCTGCATGGATCTGTAGGTTTTGTGTATGCTCGTTCACTCTAAAGGAACACTTCGTTGCCGAGACTGGCACTGGGTCTAAGAATCGTACGGTCAAACCATAGAAAAATGCTTCACAGTAGCCCTTGAGCCATTTAATATACTCTTCCCTGATAACTCTGGTGTTGCCTAGAGAGCCTACAGTATGGGGGAAGGGCAGAAAATTAAGACACACTTTAAAAATGATGGAAACATTCTTCACCTTATTCTAGAAACTGTCTGGAATTGGAAACAGAATCCACTCTAAAACCTCAATACTTCTCAATTAGTCATTGACAACATGAAGTCAAGAGAAAAGAATCTCACTGTAGGGCCCATAAGATGGCTCAGCAGGGAACGGTGCTTGCTGTGCACTTAACATCCTCATTGGAAGCAGAGAACAAACTCTACAAAAGCTGTATATGTATGAGCGTCCCCTCCCACACCACACACATAGTATTTTTAATGATCACATATGATAAAATGCCTAGCATGCAAAGAGCCCTGAGTTCAAGTCCCAGCACTGAAAGAAAAAGAAAGAAGAAAAACAGGCCATAAAAAATTGCACACTTGTAGCCAGGCATGGTGGTGCGCACCCAGGACTCAGGTGGATCTCTGTGAGTTCAAGGCCAACCTGGTCTACCAAGTGAGTGCCACAGCCAGGGCTGTTACATAGAGAAACCCTGCCTTGAAAAGCAAATAAGAACAAACAAACACAAAACCAACCAAACAAACAAACAAACAAAAAATTGCTCACTTGAATTTAGTCAACAGAAACGCAGCAAAGCCAGGCCCCTACCACCTCATTCCCAGGACATACCAATGGACTGTAGATAGATAACATGTTTTTTTGGACAGGGCGCTTTTCTGAAGCGATCGGTGAAAAACTGCTCAAAATCTTGTGGATCTTCAGGGTGTGAGATGATCCAATCCGACTGTGAATGCACAATGATGGGTCCAAAGAGATTTCTGGATGGCTGGAAGGCTTCATTCATTAGCCGCCGTTCCCCAGCACCCAACTTCTTATACTGTGTCACAAGCTCTGGATTCGTAGAGATGAGAGCTGTTTTTAGTGTGTGCTCAGAGTGCCTGGAATACCTGCATTTGCAGAGAGAGACAGAGAGACAGACAGACAGAATAAAAAAAGAGAGAGGTGGTGGTGCATACCATTGATTCCAGTACCTGGGAGGCAGAGGCAGCTGGAGCCAGCTTGGTCTACAAAGTGAGTTCCAGGGCAGCCAGAACTGTTAAGACACACAAACCCTATCTCAAAATGTAAAAGTACATGTAAAATTCTTGCATCCATGCCAAGGGCTACCCTTCAGTTACACCTCTAGTTTCCAGAATGAGTGACCTATTGCTAGTGTCTTCAAATGTCACACTTAAGTGTAGTTTCCCCATGTCCAATCAGTTAATTAAAGAATTAAAAGGAAAAACATACATTCAATCCATCCTTCTATCTCTTAGAGAACCTGCCGTTCCCACCCTAAGAGCTATTTATAAGCTGGGAATGGTGGGAACACCTGCAAACTCAACATTCAGCAGACAGAAGCAGGAGACCGCAGGTTGAAGAATAGTCTGAACCACCCTGTCTCAAAAACGGCAAAAAACAACCACAACAGAAACTAATGGTGACCCGGAGGGCCTGACCTGATGTCCAATGTCCTCTGTCATTTGACAATAATCACAATATTCTGAATTGATTCCCCCTTGGGACACATGAACAACCCAATTCCTTCCGATGTTACTCAAGGATATTCAATAATAAAAAGAGAAGTAACATTAAGTGCGCAGTTCTTTAACTGCAGGATGGCAAGATACATCTCAGCCCCTTAAGCTTTTCATGTCAGTTATGAAACACGGGGGAAGATCTAAGATGACTAAGAGACAGACTCACGTTGACGGGTCTTTTCCATTCATACCGAGTCCCTTTGTGGCGCTTTCATCCTTCCAATGAGGTCAAGCAGATGTTCCACCACAAGGCTTTTCGAGTTAGAACAGAAAGAAAAAAAAAAAAAGATTATTTCTGTCCAGTCTGTTTTCTAATCACCTAGAGGCCTTTTCAGTTTATTGAAAAAATTATTTTGAAGTGCACGCTAAGACCTGTGCTCACTTCTGAATTCTCGGGCACAAGACGGTGGCGCAGACCCCAGACCAAAACAGGCCTCTATAGACTGAGCTGTGAATGAATGAATTACACGTTTGGGCTGCAATTTTAGATTTACAGGATGAAATATAAAACAAACGTGGCCCCCTGTAGTCTACCTACCTTTATAAAGGAGAAGTCTCCAGTGCTTTTCCCACTTAAGTTTTTCTAAGGACAGACATGTCTGGCAAAGGGGTGTGTGTGGAGGGCGCCTTCACCCTAATAAAAAAGGCAGGTAGAAAGGTCGGAAGGCCTCCACATCCTTCTGCAATGAAGTGTGCAGGGAGGAATTTCAGTCAGCAGCGGGCTGGGGGCCTAGGATTCCCCCCCACACACACACACACAAATGCTGCGCAAGCTGGGTCTCCTCACACCAGCCAGCTGGTGGGGACATCCCCGGAACTCAGGGTTCGCCTCCTCCCCGGGGAGCAACCGGAAAGGCCGGCGTCGTTCCCAGGGGACATCCCGGCCCCGAGGTCCCTCAGCTTCCGCCGCAATCATCCCTCCCACATCCGCCCCTCCCCAGAGATCAAGACCTTCCCCCTCCTCCCCTGCCCAGCCCCACCGGCCGACGCCATCACACCACCCTCACCCAGCCGGGCCCTTAGGGCCGCCCTCCCGCGCATGCGTCTCCCACCGGCGCACCACGCCCCGCCGGCACCAACCACTGACCACGCGCCTTCCCGCCCCCTCGGCCATCGCCCCGCCCCCTTAACAGCGCTCTTCCCTCCTAAGGCTCCGCCTCCAAGCACTGACCACGCCCCACTCCCCGAAGGCCCCGCCCCATCCCGCCGAGCTCGCCCCGCCTAGCGGCGCCCGCGGCTGTGGTCGGTGTGAACTGAAGCTAGAGGGCGACGCGGTGCCAGACAATCCCCAACCGTCGCCCTTTCCCCCGCCTGCCCTCGCGGGGGCGCCGCGGCCCGCTCCTCACCGGCGGTGCAGGTCACGGGGACACCACCACCTGTCGGGCTTCAGTGGCCCGTGGGCTGAGCCTGAGTGATTTAAGCACCGAGTGGGAATAAGTCAGCCGCGTCCGCAGCTTGACGCGTCACCCGCTGGACTTTCCCTTCGTGGTTGGTTGGCGCCACTGTCGTTGTGGCCTCACCGGCTGCCAGGAAGCAGGGTTGAGCCCCAGGGCGTGAGGCCTAGGGTAGCCTTTCAAGCTGGGGAAACTGAGAGCTTCGAGCTCGGACCCCTAGGAACCTTCCTGGGGTAACCCTCAGCGACCAGGATCCCCTGCTCCCCGGCCTCTCTCATCGCTGAGCGCTTCGGGCACCATGGACAGTCAGAGCAGGAAATGCCACTACCTTGTCAACATTCCGTCATCCTTGGAAGTTAAGGACCTCACACACGCACGCCTCTGAACCCTTCCTCCTACCCACCCCCCAAACTCTGATTATCATTGCCGCAGCTGTCATAAAACATGGTTCATACGTGTTGTCTTTACTCAACCAAACTGCCTATACCAAGTGGACAAAAGCGATTTATTTTGAAAGGGTGGCATGTTAGCCAGGCGGGCCTTGAACTCACTACGTAGCAGAAGATGATCATGGGCTCCTGTCTTACCCCTTCCAAGCACTGGATTACAGTTATGAACCATCAGGCCAACCAAAACTTGTAAATAATTTAAGGTTCGGGGTAACACCTGTTAATCCTTGCTGGCAAAGGCAGGAGCATCTTTAAATTGGAGGCTAGTATGGTCTATATAGCAAGTAGCAGGCCAGCCTAGGCTACATAAGGCTTTGGTTTTTTTTTAATATTTATTTATTATGTATACAGTGTTCTGTCTACATGCTTTCCCTGCAGGCCAGAAGAGGGCACTAGATCTCATTACAGATGGCTGTGAGCTACCATGTGGTTGCTGGGAATTGAACTCAGGACCTTTGGAAGAGCAGGCAGTGCTCTTAACCACTGAGCCATCTCTCCAGCCCAAGGCTTTGTTTTAAACAGGAAAAAATTCCCCGTGAGCCTCTCTGAGCCTCTTTCCGCTCCCACCAGATCCCTCCCCAACGACCACATTTTTTTTCCTCTCCTGAGCCATTTTCAAATCAGCTGTAGACATGATGCCCTTTACTTCTAAATACTCCAGAGTGTATTTCTAAATGAGCAAATTTAGTCACAGGACACCTACACTGGGAATTCCCACCAACCTCTCTAAAGGCCTCAGTGTTCCTGCTGGCTTTCTATTTCTCCATATGCACTACTCCCTTCCCTGGTAATGAAAAATCTGCCTTTATTATTCATAATTTGCTTCTGCATTTAACTGCTCTGTGGTACAATGTGCACTGAGGGTAATTACAGAATAACTAATCCATATCATTGCAGACAAATAGTCCTGCCAATAAGGGTTCAGAAATTATTCATGGTCCCTTATAGGCAGAGGATACATAGTATACTATTTGACATCACTTGGATGAATTCTTCCCTATTCCGACTAGCACCGCCTCTGGCCTAGACTGGCCCCAGACTCACAACAATCCCCTTGCCTCGGCCTCTTGGATGATAAGATCACATGTAGGTGTCATCACACCCATCTTTAAATTTGCTACTCTTTTTATTATTATTATTATTATTATTATTATTATTATTATTATTATTATTGCATGATGTGTCGGTGTGGCTATTAAAAATTGCATCTTGCCAGTTGTGATGGCACACACTTTTAAACCCAGCACTCCAGGAGGCAGAGCCAAGTAGAGTTCTGCCAAGTTGCTAGTTGATCTTGATTGTCAATTTGGTAGGCTTTAGGATCACCTCTGAAACAGACCTCCATGAGGGAGTGTCTTGATTAGTTAGGTTAAGTGAGGTAGGAAAACCCAAGTCAACTGTGGGTGGCACCATGATATGATCAGGAAGTCTGGACTGAATAAAGCCAAACCAAACACCAATATTCACAGCTCTCTGCCGTGATCAGTTGCCTCTGGCTTAAGTTGCCACGCCCACCCCCACCCCACATGAAAGTATTAGCCAAAGTAAGTTTTTCCTTAGGTTTCCACTTGTCAGGCAGGCATTTGGTCACAGCAGTGAAAGACATGGCTGGTGACTAGATGATGGCAGTGGAACCCTCATGAATTGGATTTGTGACCAAGCTGTAAGAGAGAAGCTGTAAGAGAGACTCCGGACAGCTGCATGCTACCTATGAACCAGAAAGTGGAGACAACTGCCAACACATGCCAGCCTGTCGATCTTGAATTCCCCCAACTTGCTGTAGCTCGAACACACAGACACACCCTGTCTCATTTTCACAGATGGTCGTATCTCTCTTGAATATGAACCACGATGCCTTTCAAATGTTGTTCTGCTGTGTCATACTTGCTGTCTTTTTCTTTCCTCTTATAACTTCTTATTGTCATGTGAAGAGGCTTGTCAATCTGTTAAGGTATCATTTGGAGGTAGAAAAGGCTGGTGCAGGATTCCATGTGCAAGATTACATAGTATGCCCTGGGTCTCCGAGGCAAGCTGGCAGAGGGCCAGCTTATCCCCTCTGGATGCCCCAGAGTGTGAATGTGGGAATGTCTGGCCTGTGGCTATCCTGGGTTCTCCAGGAAAGGGTAATCTCCCCACAGCATGCAGTTAACTGCCTGAGAGCTCCACAAATATGGATGGTTTGAATTTTCTTTTTTAATTAAAATTATTTGTTTAGTGTGTGTGAGCGCATATATGCATGCATGTGGGTGCATTGTGTGCATGCTTGTGTGTGCCTGTGTGCATGTGTGTTCGTGCATGCGTGTGTGCATGTGTGCATGTGTGTGTGTACTACAACATACAGATGAATGGCAGAGGACACACTTCAGGGAGTCAGCACTCTGCTGCCATTATGCAAGCTCTGGGACCACACTCAGGCCCTCAGCTTTGGTGTCTAGTGCCCTTACACACTGAGCCCTCTCCTTTTCCATGTGTTGTTTATTGATCAGGCCTCATTTCATAGCCCAGGCTGGCCTGGAACTCTCTGTGTTGCTCAGGTTGGCCTCAAACTGATGGCGGCGATCTTCTTGCATCGGCCTCCTGAGTGATGGAATTACAGGTGTGAGCTACCCCTATCTGAATCTTTTAAAAATTCACTTCTCGATTTTTTTTTCATTAATTTTACCTATCAACCACAGTTCCCCCCTCCCATCCCCTTCCCCTACCTCCCATCAACTCCGGCATTCACTCCTCCTTCATCTCTGTTCAGTAAAAGGGCAGGCCTCCTACGGGAGTCAACAAAGCATGACGCATCAAGTTGAGGCAGGACCAAGTTGCATCGAGGCTGAGTGACCTTGAGGCTAACCCAGCACAGGGAATGGGTTCCCAAAAGCCATTTCAAGAGCCAGGGGCAGGTCCTGATCCCACTGCCAGGAGCCCCACAAACAGGCCAAGCTACCGGATTGTCATGCCTAGATCGGTCCTGTGTGCCTGTAGTTATGCCTGCTTACCGAAAGATAGTACCAGATCTCATTATGGATGGTGGTGAGCCCCCATGTGGTTGCTGGAAATTGAATTCAGGACCTCTAGAAGAACAGCCAGTACTCTTAACCTCTGAGACATCTCTCCAGCCCCTCATCTGAATCTTTCCTTAAAAATTTGTTTAAAGGCCAGGTAGTAGTGGAGCAGACCTTCAATCCCAGCACTTGGGTGGCAGAGGCAGGTGGATCTCAGTGAGTTTGAGGCCAGCCTGGTCTACAGAGTGAGTTCCAGGACAGCCAGGACTGTTACACAGAGAAACCCTGTCTTGAAAAACTAAACCGTTTGATTACTGCTATCCATGGGTGGGTGCTCATGCAAGGGCACATGTCTGGTGGTCAAAAGAGGTGATTCTCTCCTTTTGTGGTGGGTTCCCTTCCACAGTGGTTCCAGGAATCAAACTCAGGTCTTCAGGCATACCCTGTAA